GCCTCAGGTATTTAGTTATCTTCAGCTCCTGAGGTCCTCCAGCTTTGGCCATGGGTCATTCACTATCCCTTTTGCCTCTTGCCGTTGGCAAGGGTAATTTGGGGTCACCAGAACCCTGGCTTCACTATGATAGCAGCAGACACAAGTATCATCTTTGAAATTCACTGCTAGCCTGGTAAGTCCACCATCTTAGGCACTGGGAGGAGCTTGGGAAGACCCTGACTATGATGCTTTTGTAGCTTGTAGAGCAGTAATGAGCTAGGTCTATGCTCTCTTTCCTCAGAGCAGCTGATCTGGAATGTCCAGAGTTTATTAATGTATGTAATGCAGGGCCTCATAGCCACAATGGCTCAACTTAAACTTGGGCTTTTTTGTATTTATAGTGATCTCCTAAATTTATAGTATGTTCTCCTATTTCTATCCTCATGACAGGTAGTGACAAAGGTCCTGAGAATTCAGAGATATGTAGTAGTGTGCCTCAGTGGAGAAAGGCTTCCCAAACAATTGGTGAACTCCTGTGTATTCTTGAACATTTCAAAATAATTTCTGAACATACTTAGTTATTTAGGTGTCACCCATACTCACAGACTACGTTTGTGAAAACAGCCATAGAGTTTTGAAGTCTGAGAAAAATGAAGCAAATATGAAAGTGTTATCAAGGAGAGGGTAAAAATTTGTGAAGGAGAAATTCCAGAAAGGGCTACCTGTTAAATTCTCATCGGAAAATGCCAAAATTTAGGCATTTTCATGGACATATACATGTGATATCCTTCTGAATGGAAAGGAATAGAGGTGTCATCTCTGAATTAAGAGCTGGTTTAGTAGCTTGGGTGTTAATAGACAGTTTAAATATGGAAATTCTCTACAATGAACATATCAAACTGGTGTAAATGAGAAGCCCCAAATAGAAATTTTGCAATGATATCAATAGTTAGGCCTGAAGTGTTTTCTGTTTGGATGGATCAGAGGAGTGTGGAAAAGATGTGGAAGTGACTGACAGGATGCAGGCAGCAAATAGCAGGACATACAACAGAGACCGTCTTCACTGAAAGTCAGGTAGTTTTTAGAGTAAGTATGAAGTAAAGTTGGGTTCTGATTGCTTCATTGAGGTGATCAACACCAGCTCTGGCAACAATCAGTATTCCACATCCCTGTCAACACATGATTTTTGTATTCCATACTTGAGATCTAATTTGATTATCTCTAATTATGCCCCAGTGTCATGAAGGTGAAATTTTCAATTTTTTTGTACCAAGGATCAAATGCATGACCTATGCTTTCCAGGTAGTCCTTCATGCCACTGAGCTCAATACCCAACTAGGAAAGTGTTTTCTGTGTAGTATGGAAGAGATCCACATTGTTTCTCAGAAAGTGTTGAATATTGTTGCAATTTTTCTGTATTGTATGGCTATAATTTTTTAAAAACAAACCAAAGGTGTCTTATGCAGTCTCTTTTTAAGTTTCACTTTGTCTGTTCGGTGTCTCAATCAGGGTTTGTCTATTTTAGACAGGTCTGTAACTTAGGATAGCCCCAAATTCAAGGAAGAAATCCTTCACCAGCATCCCAAGATAGATTTCTTATATTTGAATTGAAAGTGATCACTTGGTGACAGTGTGGTATAATTTACAGCTTGGGCCTGGTTTCATTTTATATACATATTTTTAAAATACAGCTGTTTTTCCCTAACACTTGAGTTATTATTTATATACCATATTTGATGTTATTTATGTTTTGTTCTATGAATCCAAATTAATCTTTCAAAATGCTGCTTAAGTATATTAAGAACAAAGTACTCATTGGCCTAAATGAGATTTGAAGAGACATCATCTGTAGTCTATCAAAGTGATTGATTAGATTTTTAATTTAATTTTGAAATTGGTAAAATACAACAGAACCAGGCAGCATAAGGTCAACTAAGGTCATACAGTGAAGTTGGTACACAACTTCACAACGGGTTACTGGGATAACAGTAATAGGTATCACAGTATATTTTGTTATCTTTGTAATAGTTGTTCCTTAATCACATATATCAAAATGAGATGAAATACAGAACATTATAGAACTTATCAAAACAAAATATTGAATAGAGCAATACTATTAATCAGAATAGAGTGAAACAATAATAAAACCATTTTCCTTCAAAGAGATAGTAGAAGGAAGTCCCCCTTATTTGCTATGGTTTATTTCCCAGGAGGCACTTAGATTTCTGGTTCCAATTTGCTAATGGGGGGTGACAGAAGAAGACGGGTAGGGAAGTGGGATGTTTGATTCTAAGTGGTGCATCAGTAGGTTCACTATTGCTTAGTAGGGAGACAGGCTGGTTGTTTCGTTTCACAGCATCCTAAGTTCCAACATAGCATGGATCTCAGAAGCTGCTGTTGGTTCTCCCCCTGGAAGGGCTGCAGTCTGACAGACTGCCACTGCTTACCAGGGAGAAGTGGTGCTTGACTGGCTTCCCAGTGTCCTAAATTCCAGCATGGGATGGATCTCAGGAGCTTCTGCTTGTTTTCCCCTTGGAAGGGCTTCAATTTGCCAAACCACCACCGCTGACCTGGGAGGGAAGGTGCTTGCTTGGCATTCCAGTCAATTGGTGGGATATTTATCTGCCTCTGTGCTTTGTGGTTGCTGGTCTTGTAGGCTTGTTACTGTGAGCTCTGCTTTAGAGACAGTGCACAAGGAATCTTGCCATGATTCAGCACAAGAATCAGTGTTCCTATTTGGCTGTTACATTTGCAGAGAGTTGCAATCTAGCATCAAATTTGCTGTCTTCAAAAATGTGTATATACACAAAATTACTGACCAAGACATGGATTAAAATTTGAAGAAATCAGTCTTCATTCAGCTGTTTTGTTTGGTTTTAGTTGTTTAGTTTAGTTTTGTTTTATTGAGACAAGCTTTCTGTATGTATATCAGGTGGATTTGAACACCCTATGGAGCCTAGAATTGCCCTGACCTCATTGATGCCATCCTGTCTCAGCCTTTTGAGTGCTGGGATTATAGATATGCACCACCACACTTTGCTTTTGATTCAGATTTCTAGGAGAGAATTTAAGATATCCCAAACCTGGGGTCTCAACCTTCCATTGAGAAATATATATATGATCCTTTAGGAGTTGGTGACCTTTGAGGATGTGGCTGTGAACTTCAGCAATGAGGAGTGGACTTTGCTGATTCCATCCCAAAAGAAGCTCTACAGAGATGTGATGGGTGAAACCTTTAGGAACATGACTATGATAGGTAAGGATGCAATCTTTTTGTCACTCATGCTGTCAGAATATTGTTTGTTGCTCATTAGTGCTGTTTCATGAAAAAGAATATGAAAACATTTTAAAAAATATCTCACACCTGGACAGATTATATCGTAAATCTAAACAAAACCTATTAATTTGTATGTATTACTTTAAGAGTCCTGGTATTTCTATGTCTACAATTCAGGTGGACTCGGGGATATCCAGGAAGCTGAAAAAGAAGACAAAATTTACTGGAGTTACTTAAGGTAATTCATACACACAAGTATAGGAATGAGTAATTAGTGAGTCAGCAGAAAAATGACCGCCAAAGAAATGAGGCACCATTCAATTTAGTGTCAGTAATATTCTCCGAAGATGTATAAGCTGGTGTATATATGAGGGAATTAAATCATGAAAATGTATGACATTGCATATAGATGAGTATGAAAAGAATACATTTTGAGTTATTACATTCTGCCTTCAGTTTTTCTACCCATGACTACATGTGAATATAACACATTCATTATCTAACAATTGCTAAGTTTGCAATAGAATTTGAAATAAAACTGAGTGCTCATGTTTCCCAGCCATTCTCTAGAGAATCAGCCATTCTGATTAATATTCTTAGTAGGCTGGTGGAATGTTAGTGCACTCATTTTGAATATCAATATGCAGTTGTCTCTAGAAATTGATCCCCTCGTACTTGTCCTGGATATTTTTAAAATCTCAAATCTGCATAAAATACTGATACATACTTACTCATATACAAAGCAGATCAAGTTATAACAGATCAGGCCTTGTTGCTTAGCTATCTATCACTGGATTTGTGGAGAAGGAAAATGTTAATAGACTCTCTGTGATTATGCATTTCTGTAAACCCAACACACTAGGAATCGGATTTTGCAGAATGGCAAATTCAAGTTCAAACTTCACAGCTTAATGATCAGTGAGAATCTCTTATATAGATTTTTAAAAAGCTACAGATTTTATGCTAATACGTGTTGTTAATTCCCAGCCCAGAAAAGAAAAAAATGTGTTATATAATGTCAAAAAATAAATAATATAATGTCATTTGCCATAAGAAATAGATGGGTCTTTCACCCATCAATTCAGTGAAATAGCTCAGCTATAAAACCTAAAAGGTCACAGGGTTTCTTTTAGATGAGACACCAAAATATAAATTGTGGAATGAAATGAAAGACAGTTTATAGATAAAAGTAAGACTGAACATATGGAAAAGGGAACTACAGGTTAAGGACAGAAGGGAGATTGGAATGGGGAAACATATCAGAATAATCCATATGTGATACACATATGTGCCCATGCCCAAAGTGAAGCTAAAGATTCTGCATTTCAAAGTACCAACTTTTAGGATTTCTAAATGTGTGCCAGTCTTTTGGGAATGGTTGTTTTCAACATATCTTACAAGGCCATTCTGTTGCTTCATAGTCAGACTTTCTTAGCAGGCATTAAAAACAGAACTTGACATTAATGCAGTCATTAAACAGAGACCCATTTCACTGTGAATTTTTCTTTTTTAAATTTATATAAGGAAAGTTTAAACAAAACAAAATAAGTAGAAATAATGCTACTTTCAAAGTGAAAATAAGCAGTGAGAAATCGCAAGATGATGATTACATATGCTGCTCATGGAAATAGTTATGAAATACAAAAGTGAAACATATGAAGTGGGGATTCAAACAGCGAGATTGCAAAAACTTAGTAATATGGTTATAAATATTATATGTGATTTGTTTCTTTACAGAAAGCTAGGGAAATCCTATGGACATACATCTTGGAATCAGTGTAAAGAAGTCTTCCTTGGTACTGAAGAAGGTAATGTGAATGTGAAAGAAACAGAAACACATGACAATGTTCAGATTCATGAAAAATATTGCAGTGGAGGGAAACCCTATGTATGCAAGCAATGTGGGAAAGGTTTTACCACACATGGAATTTGTAAGAAACATGAAAGAATTCACAGAGGAAAGAGACCCTACATATGTGATCAGTGTGGGAAAGCTTTTACAGCACGTACATATTGTCAAGTACATGAAAGACTTCACTCTGGAGAAAAACATTATGAATGTAAGCACTGTGAGAAAGCTTTCAGCACATGTACTTATTGTGTAATCCATGAAAAAATTCACACTGGGCAGAAATCGCATATATGTAAGAAATGTGGGAAAGCTTTTAGCAGGAAAATTCATTTTCAAATACATGAAAATGTTCACACTGGAGAGAAACCCTATGTGTGTAAGCAATGTGGAAAAGGTTTCACCCAAGTTGGACATTGTAAGGAACATGAAAGAATTCACACTGGAGAGAAACCTTATGTATGTAAGCAATGTGGGAAAGCTTTTAAAACACAGGGAGATTGTAAGAAACATGAAAGAATTCACACTGGAGAGAAACCATATGTATGTAAGCAATGTGGGAAAGCTTTTAACAGACGGGAAGTTTGTAAGAGACATGAAAGAATTCACACTGGAGAGAAACCATATGTATGTAAGCAATGTGGGAAAGCTTTTACCACTCATGCAAATTGTAACGAACACGAAAGAATTCACACAGGAGAGAAACGATATGTGTGTAAGCAATGTGGGAAAGCTTTTAAAACACGTGCATATTTTAAGGTTCATGAAAGAATTCACACTGGAAAGAAACCATATGTATGTAAGCAATGTGGGAAAGCTTTTAAAACACAGGGATATTGTAAGAAACATGAAAGAATTCACACTGGAGAGAAACCATATGTATGTAAGCAATGTGGGAAAGCTTTTAACAGACGGGAAGGTTGTAAGAGACATGAAAGAATTCACACTGGAGAGAAACCATATGTATGTAAGCAATGTGGGAAAGCTTTTACCACTCATGCAAATTGTAACGAACACGAAAGAATTCACACAGGAGAGAAACCATATGTGTGTAAGCAATGTGGGAAAGCTTTTAAAACACGTGCATATTTTAAGGTTCATGAAAGAATTCACACTGGAGAGAAACCCTATGTATATACGCAATGTGGGAAAGCTTTTAGCACATGGGGAGATTGTAAGAAACATGAAAGAATTCACACTGGAGACAAACTCTTATGTATGTAAATAATGTGGGAAAGCTTTTAAAATGTAGTGAGATTGTAAGAAACATGAAAGAATTCACAATGGAGAGAAACCCTATGTATGTAAGCAATATGGGAAAGGTTTTACCAACTCTGGACATTGTAAGCAACATGAAAGAATTCACACTGGAGAGAAACCATATGTATGTAAGCAATGTGGGAAAGTTTTTACCCAACATGGACATTGTAAGCAACATGAAAGTTCACACTCAAGATAAAACCAGTGTATATAAGAATCATGAGAATGGTTTGAGCACACGTATATATTGCATAATGTAAGAAAATCTTCACACTGGGCAGAAAACTTATATATGTAAGGAATGTGGGGTAGGTTTCAGCAGAAATGCTCATCGTGCAATACATTATAAAATTTAGACTGTTGAGAAACCATGTGTACATGAAGAATGTGGGAAAGCTTTCACCAAACATGGATATTGTAAAATACATCCATGACTTCACATTGGTGAGAAACCCTATTTATATAACAATGTGGCAAAGCTTTTACCACATACAGTCACTGTAAAACACATGAAAGAATTCACACTGGGAAAAACCACTGGCTATGTAAGCAAGTGGAGATACTTTCAGCAGCCAGACTATAAGTGAAATACATGAAAAAACTCACACAAGAGATAAATCTTATGTGTTATGGGAATACTCTCATCATACTTGATCATTGTTACATATCTGAAAGCGCTCACTGGGCAGAGATCCTATGTGGATTAACAATGTGAGAAATATGGCAATCCATGTTTCTTGTTAAATACATAGATAAAGTGTCACTGTTCAGACAGTTTAGATCTAAATTTACTTTAAAAATCACAGGTAGACCTGAAGAAATAATCAATACAGAAGTTAGATGTCAATATATCTTCACAAATATTCCAGAAATGACAAACCTGAGGTGGAGCTCTCCTTAGGTGCACATGTTGTATGGTTCTCAGTTAATCACTTGTACCTCTCTAGATTTTTTAAAGTGTCTTTGTGTTTCAACATGGCATCTTTAATTAAACATGCTAAACTGAAATGGGCTTTTCACTTTCAAGTATGGATAGTGTCTATGTACTTAATATTTTTCTGTAAAACTTAAATTTTATATTTTTTGGTGAATTGTAATGTTGTTTATTTAAAGAGAAAAAAGAAAACGTGTAGAAATAATACAGAATTTCAGAAAAATAAACCATAAGAAATCACTAGTTGATTAGTTAAATATTGTCATCTTACAAGTAGTTGTTCAAGTAACAAAATTAAAGCATACAAAGTGATATTCAAATAATGACACTGTCAACAGTTCACCTCAATGATCCAACAAAAAGTTGTTAATATGCTTATCTGTCCTACACAATTTTTGTTCTTAAAGAGGGTAAGATTTTTTTTTTGGTCTTTTTTCATTTTTATCGGTACCAGGGATCGAACTCATGACCGCCTGCTTGCAAGGCAGGTGCTTATGCCACTGAGCTAAACCCCCAGCCCCTAAAGAGGGTAAGATTAAACATGACAAAACAGAACAGAACAGTTCATAAGGAAACAAGTTAAGCAAACAGATTTCAAAGCAAGTCCACTGTAGATGTTCACTGTCTATGTTACTGTCTCTAGTTTTCTTCCAAATAGTTGTTCCCATCTTCACACACATTGAATATATACCAAACATTATAGAACTAATCAAATAGTTACAGGGTGATGCAGGCTTTTTCGGTCTTCAAAACTGATTTTGGGGAAATCGGTAATGACTACCATAATGTCTCTTATTCTCTTCATAGTAGCTGTCATTATCTTTATGTATGCTGAAATTTAACATAAGAGACTAGACTAATATCACTGAACAGTGAATAATAGTATCCTGAGAAGGAGAAAGGTGAGGAATTTTCTAAAAAAAGAAGGCAGAGGACATTGATAAAAGTGTATCAGGATTTAAAATATACAGTAGTCTTGTTGCTCTATTTTGTTTGGTTATATCTTGTTCTGGTCTGTCTACACACATTAGATTTGAGGGCACAGAGAGATAACCCAAAAATAGCAGGTTATACCATGGTAACTATCCTTAATTTTCTATTAACTAAAACTGAAACCCTATATTACTTACATTGTCTTCTATGACTGATCTTTGAAGCTGGTTTGTTTGAATGTTATTTGGCCTTGACTGATTTTATTCACCTTTGGTATGCTTGCTAGTATCAAGTTCAAGAGAAGAGGCAACTACTGTAAAGATGACAAGATGTAAAAGATATCCATTGGTGGGCTGGGGATTTAGCTCAGTGGCTTAAGCACCTGCCTGGCAAGTATGAGGTCATGAGTTTGATCTCCAGTGCCAAATAAATAAATAAATAAATAAATAAATGAAAGATATCCATTCCAGGTTTGATTAATTTTTAATTAAAGAGAACAAAGATAGGAAATAAAAAACAAAGCAGTAAAAGGGTACAAGTAATACAGAATTTCAAGAAAAAATTCAATAAGAAATCACTAGTTAATAGGTTACATCTTGTCATCTTAGAAGCAGTTGTCAAATTATAAAATTAAAGAGGGTAAGATTAAACATGACAAAACAAGCAAGTCCACTGTAGATGTTCACTGTCTATGTTACTGTCTCTAGTTTTCTTCCAAATAGTTGTTCCCATCTTCACACACATTGAATATATAAAGTGGACATTCATACAGTGAGATTGCAGAAAGTTCTGTTCAATGATCCAACAAAAGCTCAGTAATACGGTTTTCCATCCTACACACTCAAGCATGCAGTTATATCCCTTAGACCACCTTCCTTTCCTGTTTTTTACAATAACAATTACACTTTTTGAGTTTTTTTACTCCCACAGTTCTTATTACATTTTTTTGAAGATAATAAATCCTAACATGACTAAATAAAACAGAGTCAGTTAGAACAGAAGGGTGGGCATAGGACATGATGCAAAAATACAGTATCAGATGATCAAAAATGGTTACCATTGTTCCTCTTGCTATTTTTAAAAAGAGTTGCCTATAATAGAATGGATCAAAACAGTACAGAACAAGACCTCTTTTTCAGAGTCTCTTTTTCCAGCAAGGAGCACTTGAATCTTCCTGTGCTCAGGCCAAGCAGGGAGTGTGCAGCATGCAGAGGAGCCAGCACCTCCTGCCTTACACCCTTTTCCACCACCGCATCCATGCTGCAGCCCTGCAGGCCCAATAAGGCAGAGCCATGAGGATGCAGAAAATACTCTGCCACCTCAGCCCCAGGGGCCTCAACTCATGTGTCCTGGCCTCAGCCTCCAACAGGGTCCAGGCTCTGCCATGGATTAGACATTCATAGTGGGCCAGACACACCATCAGTGCCTTGGGGCAAAGTCCATTTTCCACAGTGACCCTTCCATTTCTGCAAATTTTGACCCTTTTCTTTCTAAATGAGGCAGAGGCATTGGAGACAAAACACACATTGGCATTACTTTTTGGTTTTCTTTCTTTTCTTTCTTCTTCTTCTCCTCCTCCTCCTCCTCCTCCTCCTTCTTCTTCCTCTTCATCTTTGTCTTCTTGGTTTCTTTGATGCTTCAAATACATATTTAGAGGTGTATTTTGCCAAAAAACATTTCTTGTCTTTTTACACCCTAGTTAACTGAAGTTTTTACAGACTTCTACTGCAATTCACACGCTATGTGTTTGAACAGTCAGAATCCATTCTGCAGCTTAGTAGAATGAGTGAAGCAAAGCAGAAAGTGAACTTGGGGATGTTACTGTGCCTTCCAACACTCGGACTCATATCTTTTTACCTCAAAAATATGGGCTTCTGGAGCAGCTGAGTCTGGCACAGACAAAATGAGTTTCCTGCATTTATATCAGATAATTTCATTTCCTCTCAAGCACATTGTATCAGGTTTCTTATGGCCAAACTTGAAGAATTATTTCCAGTACATGAGAGGCTGCCACTGGTCCTGAAATCATGATGGAACTTTTTGTAAACACTTAGCCTGATCTACACCCTGGGGATAGAAGCTAAGAGACGCAGAGATGGCTGGCACAGATAGAAACACCTCAAAATTGTCAACCAACAGCAGCAGCAAGCAGGAACCAAGTTGCTGAGCTTTCACAATTGGGTGATGGAATCATGTGGTGGATTGCTCCCTGGGTTTACTGAGGCAACTCAGTACATCTAGGTTGCTGCTTCCATCCCCTTTCCTTCAGTGCAATACAAACAGAAAGTCATGCACATGCATCATTTATTTGCAAATTTTCTATTCCAGGAACAAAAACTGTATTCATGAGAGTCCACATCTCTGCCATAGCAGACCCACCCACGGGCATTACCACAATGTCTTGTAAAGGATCACTTTATTTATACAAAACGCAGAGCAATGCTCCCAGCCTTGATTTTTCCAGACTGGTGCATTTTCAGTCATTTCTTGAAGGGAAGCTAAACGATTTAGTTTGAGTAAACCAAGTGTGTTGCTGTGCTTCTGTGTGACATCCTTGCTGCCAGACCTGATGAAGGCAATGAGTGGGATCCGCTGGAAGTTTAGCTCCAGAGGGACATACTTAGCACAGCTGTGTCAGGCAGTGCTGCCCCTCACCTGACTGGCCACCCAGGTTTTCAAATGCCCTTGCAAGCCCCAAAGCCTCCCAGGGCCTGTCAGGGACAGCTTTGTGTACAAATGCACCCCAGGAAAGCTTCCTATTTTGCCTCACCCCACTCACTTCTGCATGCCTCTGTGTTGCCGGAGGTCCCAAGTCTGTCTTTCTCCCTGTAAAGTGCCCCATGTCCTCCTCAGAAACCAACAGACCCAGGCAAATTCCTTCTCACTGTAGTTCTCATTTACAGTGAGCTAGGCTTGCGCCAACTCAGATTAGGTTGGCTGGCTGTCCCACCTTCCTCGGCAGCACCTGCCTGGTGCCAAGAAGGGAAACTCTGAT